ACCCACCCACAGACCCCCCCCTTCCTATTTTTGCTCCTGGGGATTCCGTCTTACAATCCTGCTCCTGTGTGAGTTGCCCTACAGAAATCAAGTTCCCTTGGAGAAAAGACCTGCTTTGGAGGGTGAACTCTAGGGCACCGCACCCTCCTGAGGCCCCTCCACTCTGAAAATCCCACCCGTCCTAGGCTGCACAGTCCCAAACCTCCAGGGATTTCCTGTCCGGGGCTCTCAGGGTAATTCCCAAGACCTGCAATTGGAGCCAGAAGCGAGCTGGAAGCCAGTGCAGTTGTCTGAAAGGTGGAGGAATAGGATCCAACCAGCGAGCAGGGGAGCCAGAGTGGATCTGAGAGACTCAGGTTCGAATCTCCACTTGTGCCACGAAAGCTCGCTGGGTGACCTTAGGGCAATCACACCCCTAACCTGCCTCACAGGGTTGTGGTGAGGATGAAATGGAGGGTCAGAGAATGACGTAAGCCACTCTGGGCCTCCACTGGGGAGGAAAGTGGGGTATGAGTTAATAAATAAATAAAACAAAGCTTGAGTCCAGTGGCAATTTTAACACCAACAAAGTTTCATTCTGGGAAGAAGAAGAGGAGGAGGAGGAGGAGGCGGAGATTGGATTTATGCCCCGCCCTTCACTCACAGTCTCAGAGTGGCTCACAAACTCCTTTCCCTCCCCCTCCCCACAACAGACACCCTGTGAGGTAGGTGGGGCTGAGAGAGCTCTGACAGAAACTGCTCTTTCAAGGACAGCTCTGACAGAACTATGGCTTGCCCAAGGTCATCCAGCAGCTGCAAGTGGAGGAGTGGGGGACTCAAACCTGGTTCTCCCAGATCAATCACTACACCAAACTGGCTCTTTTGTGTGTGTGTAGAATTAAACTTTTTCTGTCTTCAAGGTGCCACTGGACTCAAACTTTGTTCTGTTGCTTCAGACGAACATGAGGATCCACCTGTACATGAAGAAATCCTCCATTGTCTTCAGAGACAAAGAATTGGGGCAGTTCCAGTAGAGGCCTCCTTGTATTGCCAGCAAACAGGGGTGGGAGGGATTGAAGGTGTGACTTTTGGTAAGAGAAAAGGGTGTGGCAAACATGCCCCTTGTTGCATGGGAGGTAAATTCAGGTCAGGAAAAAAAGGAAGTAACCACTTAGTAACTTGTGGGATGCCCTCCCACAGGAAGTGGCCACTCAAGTGGCTGATTTATGGAGGACAGGCCCATCAGTGGTTCTTAAGCCACCAGAGCTAAATGGAACTTCCACGCAGTTCCAGTAGAGGCCTCCTTGTATTGCAAGCAAACAGGGGTGGGAGAGATTGAAGGTGTGACCTTTGGGAAGAGAAAAGGGTGTGGCGAGCATGCCCCTTGTTGCATGGGAGGTAGATTCAGGTCAGGAAAAAAGGAAGTAACCACTTAGTAACTTGTGGGATGCCCTCCCACAGGAAGTGGCCACTCAAGTGGCTGACGTTAGAAGGCAGATTGATGGAGGACAGGCCCATCAGTGGTTCTGAAGTCACCAGAGCTAAATGGAACTTCCACGCTCAGAGGCAGTGTACCTGTGAATACTGGCTGTGGTGGGGAGTGAAAACAGCAGCAGGCACTGGGCCTCCGTGCCACGCTCATAGGCCTTTGTCGGGAGGCTGGATAAAGGGCCAATATTAAAAACCTAGTTGAAACTTATGATATACAAAAAAAACCCATGTATTTATTAGAAAGACAGTTAAAAACACAAGGGCTGATACACACAAGTTTCCACCTGACGCGTTTCCACCCTATCGGGGGCCTTCTTCAGAAGTCAAACGGCGTAACAATAACACACATTACAATAAGGTAACCAATAAGTGAATACTGGACCAAGAAAAGGAAGGTGAAGCCTCAAGATCAGTAGACACAAGACAAAAGATGTTTGTGAGGCCTCTAAAGAGGAGAGTCATGTGCCTGGTGCACAGCTGCTGAATTAGAACTGCTGGTGCAGTGGTTAAGAGTTCTGGGCTGGCCTCTGGATCCCCAGTCACACCATCAAAGCTTGTTGGGTGACCTGGGGGCAGTCACACTCTCAGCTGGACCCGACCTCACAGGGTTGCTGTTGTGAGGCTAAACGGGAGGATGAGAGAACGATGCAAGCCGACTTAGTTTCAAGAGGGGACTGGATGAACGTCTGAGCAGAGGCCCATCGGTGGGTATTCGCCACAAGGGATCCTCACAGGGTTGCTGTTGTGAGGCTAAAAGGGAGGACGAGAGAACGGTGCAAGCCGACTTAGTTTCAAGAGGGGCCTGGCTGAGCAGAGGCCCATCGGTGGGTGTTCGCCACAAGGGGTCGATGGCCGCGCTGGCTCAGAGGTTAAGACGCGGAGTCGCAGACCAGAAGGTCCCGGCCGCGACTGCCTGCCGGGCGAGAGAAGGGGCGCCCGAGAAGCCCCGCCCGCGCCTTCGCCAGCAGCCCCGCCGCCACGCAGCGGCCCCTAGAGGGGGTGGTGGTCCATATAGGGGGCAGTGGTCCGGCCCGGTGTCCGGGCGCGCTGGG